CTCCCCTCCTCTCCTCCCTACTTACCTCCCTCCTCACCTCCCTCCTCTCCTCCGCAACAGGCAAACTTCAAAACCAAATAAAAGTCAGTGGGTCACGGGAAGATCACAGAGCAGGGAGCCACGTGCCCCGGCCGCTGCACCCACATGGCCGAGCTGCAGGGACGGGGCAGCGGGCCGCTGTGGCCCACGCACCCCCCAGCCGTGGCTGCACGCATGTGGGCGCGTCGGGACAGGCCTGTGGCTCCCGCGCCGGACTCCTGGGCACGCGCCCGAGGCCGCTCCTCAGACCGTCCCGCCCTCCGCAGGTGCCCGGCAGCCCGATGATAACCGCGTCAGTCGTCGGAACTTGCCGCGCCGCCGCCTGTCTGCCAGCAGCCTGGAGGACCCCGAGAACAGACCCTGCGTGTGGGGTCCCGTGGCTGTCTGAGAGCCCTGCCCGGCCCCCACATTCCATCCTGGCCTCACTGGGCCACCCGCCTTCTGGGCCCCCCGCAGGACACAGCAGACTGTATATGGGGAGAGCCGGCCGCCCCCGAACCCGCCCCCTTCCCGCCACCGGGCTGAAGCCCCTTCGCCCCCCCCCCCCCGCCAGCTGGGGCTGCTGTACCCGTGGGCAGCGGCTCCTGCACCCTCTGCAGAGACGCTCGGGACTGTTCCACCGTGGCCTGGTCTTTGGGAGGAGCTGGGGTCCACAGCCCCCCCTTTTCCATGCACCTTTTCTCTCCTGAAGGGGTAGGCCAAGCAGACCGGGTGGGCAGCTCCAGGACCAGCTCCCCTGCAGCGCCTGCTCCCTGGTACATTCCCAGTTTGAACCCCAGTTTGGGTGGGGCTGAGGGGTGGCTGCTGCAAGAAGGGAAAGCGTGGCCCCTGGAGTTGCCCTCAGGAAGCATCGGGACCCCCTTCCCGAGAGCGAGCGTCCCGCCCAGGGCAGGTGGGCAGAGCCGTCTGGCTTCGGCAGCGGAGCTGGTCTGGGCCCCGGGGGTCTGCCTAGAAAGGGGACCTCGAGTCCGAGACTCCACGACTTAGCCGCTGCCCTCTGGAGGGTCTCTCCTGACCAGCTGCAGGGCTGGGACCCCACCCAGGACCACACTTGGAAGCTCGCCCACTCTGCCCGCATGCGCCAGGCCCGCGTGGAGCCAGGCAGGCGTCCCTGGTCCCGCCACCCCCTCTGCACCCCTTTTTGTTTATAGTTGAGCTAGGCTGAGGCGTGGACCAGCGAGTCCCACATGGGTTCCCAGGAAGCCCAAAGGAAGTGGGTGGGGGCTGCTGAGCAGGGCACCCCCACCCCACCCCCGCCATCCAGACCTGCTGAGCCTGAGGGATGGGTGAGGTCACCTTCCGTGGGCTCAGCAGCCACACAGAGGCTGGCATCGCCCTCGTGGGTCTCGGCCCAGGGAGTGGCGCCTGAACACAGCTGGACCGTGTGGCCGGAGCCTCTCCTCGCGTGACCGGGGCTGTCAGCAGCCCCGGTCATCCTTGGGTGGCTGCTATGTCCGATGTCTTTGGGGGTGGGTGGAGCACGAGACTAGGAAGACAGGACCGCGCGAGGCAGAGCCTGAGGCCTGTCACCCCAGAGGGCTGGGCAGCACCCTCCACGGCTGGCGGCCTCAGAGACAGCCAGGACCCCAGTGCCCGGCGCCCTCCGTGTGGCCTGTGGCCGCAGAGTGGGGGGTGCTGGGCTCATGCTGTCTCCGGGTGGCTCAGGTCCGCTGTGGCCCGAACCGTGTGGCACGGGCCTGCCTGAGCCTCGGAGTTTCTCCCACTCCCCGCTGCCCTCAGGCCCCACGTCCTTTCCCGCACCCTCCCTGTCCCTGTCAGACTGGGAATTGGAGCAGGGACCCTTCTTCCTGAGTTCCCTGGCGGCAGGGCGGGCCCCAGGAGCGCCTCCCTGGCTGGAGGCCACACGTCTCCCCTCCCTGTCTCCTTGCCTGGGCCTCTTGCTCGCCCTGCTGGAGGGCCTGTCCTCACCGCACAGCCCAGCTCTCGGGGAGACTGGACAAGGCGTCAGGCCTGACTTCACAGCCAACACATCCCTGGCTTAGAAACCCTCTGCCCCTGCTCCCATCTCTACCTTGCTCTCATTTAGCAGAAATGTCTCACCCTGGGCGGCTGGACCGGGGTCAGCCAGCCCCCTCGCCCCGTCGATCATGTGCAGAGGTCACTTCGGCAGTTGGCTGGGCCTGGCTTGCGCAGACACCACGCCAGGTCTGACACGCCGCGGGCAGCCCCCCACGCAGGGCCTCCCCTCGCCCCCACCTCCACCCCCCCACCCCAGGCTGGTGCCCTGGTGGCCTCGGGGCCCACACACTTCCCCCGCGCCATCTCCCTGGGCAGAGTCCGGCTGCCCAGCCCTGGTGAGTTGCCTCGCTTTGGGGCCTGCCGCCCAGTGGCTGCAGCGGTGCGCTGTTGTGCCACCTGGGCGCCCCCGGTACCCCCTGGATCTCATGGGCAGGCGACTGGGGACATCGAGGACGCAATATTTACGGATTGCTGCATGATTCTTAAAGTGAATAAAACTGTTTACAAGGGAAGGAGTGACCCACGGCGCAGTTGGCTGGTGTGAGCTTCTGTCCGACTTTGTCTTTTTACCCCAGAGAATCTGGGGCAGACAAGGGTGGGGCAGGTCTTGCTTGGGCTGGGGTTCGTGGCAGCAGGCTGGGCACCCCAGCCCTCCAGCTCCTGGGCAATGGTCCAGGAAGAAGTACTAACCCCCTCCCTCACCCCAACAGCCTTTAAGCCGGAGATCACCCAACACGGCTGCTCCTCAATAATTGAGCAGGAGAGTTAGCTGGTGACAGGAGGCCCCGCCCCGCCACTTGCAGAACGAACCGCGAATAACCCGCTAGGAAAATTTGGCAAGTGCTGGCTTTTCTGAGTTTTATCCACTTCCTCAACTATCTGGCAGGGAGGGAGGCCGGGCCAGGACGGGGCACAGAAGCCTCTGGAATGTCAGCTTCCGGGAACCTCGCCGAGCCGGCTGGGAGGGAGCCGCTTGCCGAGACCCAGGAGCGCCCTCCCCGCCTTGCTGCGCCTGCCGTCGGCTGGCAGTTTCTGCGGGCTGACGGCAGGTGGCCCGGGGTTGAGCCCGCTGGCACCAGAGGGGGAGAGGGGCCGGCGGCGGGAACTGAGCACGCGCCGCCGCGG